AGCAGTGGGACCCATGTGAACAGAGGGGCAGAGTTTGAGCAGGAGACCAGAAAGGAGCTGAGGAAAGAGTTAAAAGGCAGCGCAGGTCCATCTGCCCTTGAACACTGTGCTTCCCAACCAGGGATCTGAGCAACTGCGGGATATTCCTGGGGTGGTATGAAATAACTGATTTCCTGGAGCACTAATAAGAGAAAGAGAGAGGATAAAGTGTAAATTAAGAACTGGCAGACGGATTTATGCAGAGTCCCAACCCCACAGAAGCTCTTTCTCCTATAGGCCATCTTTGGAAGAAGAGTTTATGTTGGAGTTGGGCTAAACCCACCAGGCGAGCTGGTTCAGGAGGAGGAGGGCTGCTATCTGGCTGTGGGAAGTGGTGGTAATAACTGAAGATAGGCTTCCCAATTAGAAGATGGCATTAAATTAGGTATGGAAGGAGAAAAATGACAGCCACAAATACCAGGAAAGAAATTGACCAGCCTGCAGGGCTGACTTCCTGGCAGATTTCCTGGGTCTTGCTCTCCAGGTTGGAACTGAGAGTCCAACAACCTGCAGCCTTCCTTCTGGCCTTCATGTCTGTGCACCTAGTCAGTCATAGCCTCTTCCAAAGCCTCTCCAGACATTTCCACTTCTGGGGGTACAGTGGTTTGAACATTACAAGGACGTCCTAGGACCTCTTCTTTTAGAAGATACCTATAGATTCAAATTGAAGCACCACACATGTGGTTTCATCTATTTAATCAGGGTTACAATAAAACAGTTGATGCCCCAGGGAACAAGTGAAGAGGGAGCTACAAGAAGGTGGCGGCAAACAAAATTGAGATGATAGCTAAAAGGTAGGTGCAATATCAAGACCAATAGAAGGAAGAGTTCTCATTACAAAAATCACAAAACAAGTAAGGAAAAACAATTTCATGAGTTAGAAAAAATATATGAGGCAGAGTTAAACTGCTACAAACCTCAGTAGAGATGAAAGCAGTAGGGAAGACACATGTCCTCTATACAGGGGACCTGGAGCAGTGGGACCCATGTGAACAGAAGGGCAGAGTTTGAGCAGGAGACCAGAGAAGAGCTAAGAAAAGGCAGGGCAAGTTTGAGAATCGTTACTGAGAAATATGAATTTAATGGCCTCTAAAAGTGGCTTTCCAACTTTCTTTTTAGTACTAGAATGCTCTCTTATTTAAAGAAAAAAATGTTGGAACCACATGATCCAGCAATGTCACTTTTAGACAGATATCCAAAAGAATTGAAAACAGGGACTCAAGCAGAGTTTATAGCAGCACTAGTCACAATAGCCAAGAGAAGCAAGCACAAAGAAAATGTAGTATATACACGCAATGGAACACAATTCTGATGTATGCTGTAACATGAAGAACACCGAAGACGTGTTAAGTGAAATAAGCCAAATGAAAAAGGACACATACTGTGATCCCACTTATATGAATACTTAAAGTAGTCAAATACAAAGAGACAGAGAGCAGAATTGTGGTTGCCAGAGACTTGGAGAAGAATTGTGGAGTTAGTGTTAAAGGGCACAGAGATTCAGTTTGGGAAAATAAAAAAGTTCAGGAAATGTATAATTATACAACAATGCAAACATACTTAAAGTCACTGAAATGTATACTTAGAAATGGTATAGATGGGGTCCGGAGTATAGCTTAGTGGTAGAACATGTGCTTAGCATGCCCGAGTCCTGGGTTCAGTCCAAGGCACACACACAAAAAGGTTAAGATGGTTGTTATGTGAAATTGTGATACCAATTTCTTAAAACATCATTGGAGATCCCCATAAATAAAATTGAGATGATCAGAATGTTAGTGTTAATGCTAATGCTAAAGTGAAAGTTTGGGGAGAAAATGCGAAGAGCTGTGGAGATGAGAGATCATGCCAAGCTTCCAAAAAGAACTGTTCCTCAATTGGAGTGGCTCAAAAGCAGCCATGATTTGAAAGCACTAGGTCTGCATGCTTCAAGTTGTCCATAACACGGATGTCAGCTCCAGACCTGGCCCCCCCTGTTGCAGGGCTCAGTTCTCATTCTCTTTCCTGGGACCTAGCAGAGAGACTCCCTCCTCCTCAGGGCCAGTAGAACAGCCATTCCCATAACACTTAAAGATTGCCCAGGAGCCTGGTTGACAGCAATGGAGGGAAGTTGGCATCCAGAACAACACTCCCAGCACCACACTTTTAGAAGGCAAAATATAGTTTACAGGTGTGCCCAGAACAAAGGACAAGAGGCACAGGGAGGCATCTTCTCCACAGTTTCCTTCCCGATGAGGCCCATCCTTGAAAAACAGGCACTGAGAGAAGAGGGCCTAGCTCCTCAGTCAGCTGAGGGCACTTTGATTACAGGCTTGGAACAGGAGACCTGATCCCCTGCCAGCCCTCACACCATGCCAGCAAAATGGGAGTTTGTGTGGAAGCCACTTCTAAGTGTAACTCCCTGCTGCACATGTAAAGTAACATGTTATTTTATGTCATTTCTTATTTCTTTATTTTAGAAATACCCTCCCTCAGCAATCAGCATTCTTGACCCTTCATGGAGAGGGATCTTCACCCATCATATACAAGAGGTCCAAATTCAACTGTGTCACCTAAGCACATCAATTCACTCCAGATCTTTGGAGCGATTTTGATTTTCAGCACTGACTCCTTTGGCTCTCCACTGGCAATTTACCCGAGCCTCTGATTGCTACACTAGAGTTGAAACTCCTTAGAGAGAAGATGTTTGCTTTACTTGTTGTCTTTTCCCCAAAACCTCAGTTCAACACAATATTGCATACAGCAAGTACCCAATAATGGTATAAATGAAAGAGTAGAAATCAAGACTTACATGCCAGGAACTATCTATGGTTTTAGAGTTGGAAAAAGTGATGGGCATAGGCCAGTCACATGGGGTTGGCTCTAGCTGGCTGGAAGGTGACAGCCCTGCTCTCTCGTCCTGATGGGCTCCATTTCAACACGATACAGTCGTCCATCTCCTTGTCTTTGAAGTAATGAAGTAGCTTAACTTGAAGCTCCCTTATAGCCATCATGTTGTCATTCTTCAGAATGAAAGTAATATCAGTAATATGACTGTGAGATCCCAAAAGAAAGCCAAGAAACAAGCAGAGAGATAAGTGCATAATGAAACATTCCGGACAGAGCCTGAGACATAAGTCCCCACACAGTGCTTACACCATACAGATGTGTCCTCTTGAATTATTTTAAAGGTGTGGAAAAAGCCAATGCGATGCCTGCTCCACGGATACTAAGGACTCACCTTCCTACTCAGTTATTGCCACCATCTTTCTGGGAAAACAACTGCAAGGTAGGATCAGTTCAGCCACCTGGTGGCAGGAGGAGAGGAAGCCCACCCAGAGTGAGGCCTCCAGACCCCGGTTCAGAACTTCCTCCTCCATATCTTTACCTCTCCTCTACTTCTGAAGGGTTGACAGCTTCTCAACAGTAAGGGAAAATGCAGTGAACAGTTTCAACAAGGATATTCCCGTGAACAGTTTTAACACGACGTGAAGGCAGAAGCTGTACTGAATTTCTAGAGAGAATAAGACATGGGGAGGCATGAGGATCCACTGCTCTGAAGAGCAAGGCTTGCTGTGAAAGGAAGAGTGAGAACAGGGGGCCACAGGCTGGGCCATTGGGAGAGGGAAAGGGGAATAAAAAAAAAAGCCTTGCAGATTTTTCAAAAGGGAAAGTTGATGAACAGATGGAGCAATGAATGCTCTTGAGTAGGCACTTGGCCAGAGCCCTGAGCTCCTTGTTTTATTCATTCTGGTACTTTATTTATCAGCTACATCAGTGCCTGTTAAATTTCTGTCACAACATAGGGCAGTAAAACGTGCCTGCTGATCTACAAAAGATGAGAACTGTGTAACCAAAGGGAGTCAAGAGCACAAATTGAATATGGGGCACTGTTTTCTCAGCAGTGGAAATAGATGGGAATGACTAAGAAGGCAATTTCAGGATGACAGGGGTGCAGGTGGGGGGACTCACATCAAATGACATGGCTTCCTTTTGGAAAATCTGGGTAAGGAGTGAGAACTTCTGTTTCCAGGATGATGTTTTGTATACAAAAACATTTGTATACAACCAATGAATGCTGCAGGACATAGCAGAATTTCCTTTTTAAGTGTACAACTGAGATGGGTTTAAAAGTAAGGAAAGTCCCTAAGTTCTAAAAATGAAGAGGGAAATAAAACTCAGAGAAGTAAATTAGGCCTGGATCTGTCTGGGGAAATTTGATGACCTGGATAACCCAACAACTTAAATTTTGATGGCTTCCAAGGCACAAGGCCAAAGCCAAGGATATAAGGAAGCAGAAGAATAAGGAGAATAACTGGGATACTGAAAGGTTGAATCCTCAATGGTGGGTGGAGAAGATGAAGGAGAACCCAGGGAGCCTGTCTTGAGCCTGCTCTTAGCTCCCCTGAGAATGTGTGCCCAGTGTCCTCCTCTCTCAAAACTTTGAGATTCAAATTGGCCTTCCTTATGCTGTTTAAGAAAATACAATAAGTCAAATCAGCATATAATAACTGTCAGTGTTCACAGGAGTCCTGGCAGGCACATACATGGTCTGGAAGAATACAGTTTCTGTCCAGGCCCCACAAGATACCCACCTGAGCTCACCACCCCACATTACAAAATACAGAATTAGCCAAGATACTGAGATTGAGATAGAGATGATAGATAGATAGACAGATAACAAGCAGCAGAGTTAGACCTCGAGAACGTTACTTAACAATTTATCACCCACAGAAATAAAAGAAGAGGTCTGGGAAGTAGTAGGGTGTTTTCCTAGCATACAAAGTTCTCGTTTCATTTACAGCACTGGAAAGAAAAAGAGAGAGAGAGAGACAAAGAGAGAAAGAAGAAAAAAGGGAAGGAGGAAGGAAGGAAGAATAGGTTGTACAAAGAAATGAAAGATTGAATCAAAATTAAAATACAGGTATAAGATATAATTAGAAACAGAACTATTAAAGAAATATATGTCAGTTATTGAAATTTAAAACCCAAGAGTAGGCTAATATGCAGTATAAATACAGATGAATATCAAGTTCATGAACTTGGAGAGGGGATGAAGTCTTGTGACTGGAGGTCAGAAATATGAGAAGAGAGTCACAAGCTGGCAAGGGACAGTGAAGTGAAAGACAACTGAGGTTTAAAAGCTTAAGAATTCAGGTGCTTTTTTAAAATATTTTAAGAAACGTGTTCATTGGTGGAGAAGACGGATATAGGACTTAGACAACAGTGGCAGAGTAACCAACTTTGAAAGCAGGGCTTCTCAATCTCAGCCCTTATAATTTCGTTTTGTTTTGTTTTTGCTTAAAAGACAAATGGGATTTGTTCAAAGGGATGTGGTAAGTAATACAGACATAGAAATGACCGTCATGAAGAGTGTTTTGTGCTCACAGTTCCCTAGAAACAGAAGGTACCGCATGCCACATAGAGCCATATAGAGAAGTACCAGGTCAGTCAGGATGCAGAGAGATGAGACAAAAATATGTACAAGAGCCATTATTGTAGTTTCTGCAGGATGGGGACAGGAGACGCAAGGAGGCAGGCTTCGAGTTGGGTGGTTTGAACGATTTCAGCAGACTCTGGGGCATAGGGCTGTGTCTAATTGTCTGGTACCTGCCCTGTGTTGAGTGGGCAGGTGGATAGTGGTTCAGAGTATGAGAACTTCATAAAGGAGGAGGTGGAACAGTGAGCTCTGGATTGGTTGGCTGTATATTTACTAGACCTTGGAATGAGCCACTCCTAGAAAGGATACTCCCTCTAAAAACAGAAAGGTTCCCAAATGTCCAAGTATCAGAATAGAGAATATAAAAGATAGTTTGATATGAATAAATATAGCACTACTGATATTTTGAGCCAGATAATTCTTTCATGTGGGTGGGAGCAGAAGGACTCTCCTATGTATTTTTTTTATTAATTTTTAAAATTTATATATAAAAGCAGAATACATTACAATTCATATTACACATATAGAGCACAATTTTTCATATCTCTGGTTGTATACAAAGTATATTCAAACCAATTTGTGTCTTCATACCTGCACTTTGGATAATGATGACCATCACATTCCACCATCATTTCTAACCCTGTGCCCCCTCCCTTCCCCTCCCACCCCTCTGCCGTATCTAGAGTTCGTCTATTCCTCCTATGCTCCCCCTCCGTACCCCACTATGAGTCAGCCTCCTTATATCAGAGAAAACATTCAGCATTTGTTTTGGGGGGATTTAACATTATCTCCTCCAACTCTATCCATTTACCTGCAAATGCGATGATTTTATTCTCTTTTATTGCTGAGAAAATTCCATGGTGTCTAAGTGCCACATTTTTTTTTCATCCATTCATCTACTGAAGGACATCTAGGTTGGTTCCACAATTTAGCTATTGTGAGTTGTGCTGCTATAAATATTGATGTGGCTGTGTCCCTGTAATATGCTGTTTTTAAGTCCTTTGGGTATAGACTGAGGAGAGGAATAGTTAGGTCAAATGGCGGTTCCATTCCCAATTTTCCAAGGAATCTCCATATTGCTTTCCATATTGGCTGCACCAGTTTGCAGTCCCACCAGCAGTGTATGAGTGTACCATTTTCCCCACATCCTCACCAACACTTATTGTTGTTTGTCTTCATAATAGCTGCCATTCTGATTGGCATGACATGAAATCTTAGTTTTGTCTCCTGTGTATGGTAGAGTGATGTACAGCATTCCTGACCTTTACTCACTAGAAGCCAGCATCACTGTCCCAGTGTCACAACTAAAAATGTCTCTGGTGATTGATAAATGTCTTCTGGTGGAAAATATCATCCCTGATTATGAACCACTGTTTTACAGTGAAAATCAGCACAGCACTGATATAACTGTTCATGGGTCCTGGGTGGATAGTTGAGAGGCCACTTTGGGGCTGATACAATCAATGTGAATTTACCTACCTCTCTCATTTTATAATAATGAGACAAAAGTTGGTTAAATGAAAAGTTAGGAAGAGGAAGATTTGAATTTGAGGTCAAAGTGACACATAAAAGGATGCTTTGTAGGGGCAGAGCTGAAGTGATTAGAGATAGAAATAATAAAGTTGGAGAGGCCAGAAGGAAGATAGTAACTCTTTTCTTGTTCCACAGTCCAGACCCTAACCATGAAGCTATCCTGTTTCACTAGGAAACCAAGATGAGTTTGTCAGAAGGCTCATCCACATGCATGTGGCATTTTTTAGTCACACGACAGGTCATACTTTCTAAAGGAGGATTTAGCTCCCTGCCACCCGTGGGGATCAGGTTAGCTAATTAAAGACTTAATAGGACCAGGTTGGAAACAGAGTATAATTGGCAAAGATACAAGGAGAGTGGTGAGAGGTTACAAAGCCACACAGCCAGCTCCAAAGTGCTAAACAGGTGTGTGTAGATATCCTCAGGAAGACTCAACCCAGGTGAACTTTGTGAAAATCCATTTCTATACCATTTTTCATCCATCTGTCTCCTTACCCTAAAGTTCCTTTATGTAGCTCGAAATGCCAAAGACTGTATGGTTTCCTACTACCATTTCCAAAGGATGAATCAAGTGCTACCTGACCCTGGAACCTGGGAAGAATATTTTGAAACCTTCATTGATGGAAAAGGTAAAAGAAAATGCTTCATGTACCTGTATTCCCATTCTAGTGAGACTGATTCAAGAGAATCAGACATAACATTTGATTCTCTAGAAGTTTATGTGCCTCTTTAGGTAAGTCCTGCCATGGATGGGGACCAGGTAGAGCAGCTTGGCTGCTTTTCCACTATAGACCCACAGCCCTCAGTAAATATCTTCCACCTGATTAGAAAGTCTTTATTCTGGGTCACAGGTTCTGTTAAGGCACCCTCATTCCAAAGGGATTGCTATCTCAGTGAGGGTACGCATGTTTGTGCATCCTCAACAGGAAGACACTTTGGGTAACATGTTTGGACAAATAACCCCAAGCCCGTCCCAGTCCACATGACCATCAAAATCAAACAGATTAGGACTCTTAGGAGGTATCTGATGCAGAATTTGTCCCCTTTACACTTCAAATCAACAAAATCCTGACCCTCAGAAGGTTCTGTGCCATTTCTATGTAGACTGCTCTTTGCGTCTGTTACAGTGGGTTGGGGCTCCTGGTTTGACCATGTGAAAGGATGGTGGCAGAAGAAAGACAGATATCAGGTTCTCTTCCTCTTCTATGAGGACATAAAGAAGGTGAGTAAAGAACCACTTAGACCCAGGGCCAGAGAAACTTGAAGCTATTCAGGGATGTACTTCTGAGAAAGAATCATGGCTTTCTGAAACTCATCCATTCCATTCCTATGTCACCCTCACACAGGACCCAAAACATGAAATTCAGAAAGTGGCACAGTTCATGGGAAAGAACTTGGATGAAACCGTGCTAGATAAAATTGTCCAAGAGACATCATTTGAGAAAATGAAGGAAAATCCCATGACAAATCGTTCTACAGTTCCCAAAACTATCCTGGACCAGTCCATTTCCCCCTTCATGAGAAAAGGTTTGTGGGGCCTTGTCACAAATGCTTAGCCTGCCTGGTAACATTGACAAGAAGATACTGGGTTTCACTAATTCCAAAGCAATGTATTGACTATTCATGATACCTGGTTCTAAAAAAGCTAGGTACTTGAACCTGTTGTAGTAGACAAAGCTCTGTGACTAGCAAAGGAAATGAAACCTTGTCAATGAATAAAGGCAGGAGCAACTATTGATCAAGAATTCACAGAGACTCCTGGACCTACCTAATGATCTGGGACCTAAGCAGCAGGAGGTCACAACTCTTTGCTCTATGAATCCACCACTTAAAAGGCTCAGCTACTGTCTACATTATGCATATCTTCGGTCATGACCCATTTCCTCTCTCTCTGCCCATTGTAACTTTAACTTACATTATAGTTTCTGCTGTCTCAATATCTGCTCAGACCTCGGTCATGACCATGTCAAACCTGCCCTACATCATGATTTTCAACTGTAACTACTGCTGAGAACTGCCTCCTCTTGGTACTTTTTGCTTCTAATTCTTAAAAGAGGGATTCTAATTGGCCCAGCATATATTTTTTCAAGGGAAAAAAACTTCATCACTTTTATGTAAGAAATAATCCATTAAAATTATAGAAAGTTAAATCAATTCAATATTATCTCTTTAAAGAAAATCTCCTCCAAATGCTACCACCCCAAAGTTCTTCTGCTCTCTGTTTTATAAGCATATACTTTTATTTTTCACAACAGTGGAACTATGGTTTGCATACTATTTTGTAATGTCTTTTCTTCTTCCTTTTATTTTTTGGTGGGCAACTGAAATTATTTCATTGCCCTTTCCAATCTAAAAGAGTACTCAATGCTTCTGAAACAAATCAAATGATTCCATTTCTCTTCAAATAGCTGATGGTGATTTTGCAAACAGCCCTTCTTTAGGCCCTTACATACCTACCTTTCTATACACACTCTTCCTTTTTTCTCATACAAACACAGAGATATGTATACCATATGTAGTTATCCTATACAAATTTGCCCACCAGAATATGAAACATCTCTTCAGGGCAAGGCATATAGATCCAAGCCCCTCACTGCTTTTAGAAGTCCTCTGTTATATCAAAGTGGCATAATAAACATTCATAATTCACCCATCTGTTTTTCTAGTGATAGGGAAGTTATCATTGCCTTCAGTTTCCATCTTTATGAATAATGTCACAATGAAAATTTTTGTGCATAGTTCTTATTTCCTGATACTTTTCTGTTACATAATTTTTCAGAAGAGACATTGGTAGAACAAAGAACATTTTCTAATATAAAATTATTTTAATCACTGCTTAGTGAAAAATAGTATCTCCTTCTAACTATTTTCAAATTATTTTATGTTGATATATAATCTAAATACAAAAATGCTCAGATCTTAAGCATACAGTTTAACATACTTTGATATATATGTAGCCATACGACCAGCACCCCAATCAAGATATCATTTTCATAACTCCAAAAGGGACCCTCTCATATCCTGTTTTTATCAATATGTACCTGCAGAGACAACTGCTATTCTAATCTCTATCCTGTAGATTGATTTTACTTGTTCTTGGATGTCATACATATGGAATCACACAGTACACTTTTTTATGTCTGGGGCCTTAGGTCAACATAACACCTTGAGATTTCTTCATGTGGTGTATTTCCATAGTGCATTTGTTTCTATGTCTGTGTAGTGCCACTGTGTGACTCTACCGTGGGTGGGCTGGGTCATTCTGGGTCACCAGCTCCTGTACCAGTCATGATTAGATTCAGAAGCCCATCCCACTGCACTGAGCCTCAGAGGGCTGCTTCCCATAGCAGATGGCTGCAGATGGAATGGAGTTCATTGAGGGATAACTGGGTGAGTCAGGCTACTGACAGGCCAAGCCTAATGTGGGTGCCCCACTGATTAACTTGGGTCCACTCAGTCTGTCCATAAGAGAATGACAACTCCTATCTGGTTTCCATCTTCTAGGAACTGTGGGGGATTGGAAAAACCATTTCACCGTGGCCCAGAATGAAAAGTTTGATGAAATATATAGGGAGAAGATGAAAGGAATCACTATAAACTTCTGCATGGAACTCTGAGGAGGTAGTAAATAAAAAGTTGGAAGACAAGAACACAAACGCTGTCTTCAATCCTCAGCCACAGCCAGATGAATCTCTGAAAGCACATTGGAAATGTTTATGATTGTGGTGCAAACCATCTCTGTAATTATGAACAATATGTCACAGCTTTGCAAAAAGGATCATGCCTAATGCCTACTTTCTCCTCTATTTTTTCCAAACTAAGAATAAGACATCTTAATAAACTAGGTAAAATATAAGACTTAAATACTACAAGGATTTTTATAATCCCCATTCTTTTGGGAAGTGTATCCATTTTCTAGGGTGCAATATAACAATATCTTGAGAACAAATACACAAATATTAGATAAAATATATACTAACAACATGAAATTCTGATGTCTGATCTGACCACTGGGGAACACTGGTCTGGGCTCAATCCGGAGGTTCTTCCTGGTCACAATGGGAAGAGAAATAATGGGAAGGGATACAACCCTGGTGCAGCCAGACCTGAAAAAATATATTCTGAGCACCCTGATTGTAAGCAGAGAATGAAAGGAAAGGCCAGAGAGTGAATGTCAGAAGTCTAAAACATGATTAAGAGGGACAAGGTGCTAGGCCATATAGGAAACAGCAGGAGGGTGGTGTTCAGGAGCCCAAGTTAGATCCTGGTGAAGGCAGAAAGTAGGGGAAGTGACTGATGTCAGCAATGTCAGCCCAGGTGTGGTGCTCAACATGGAGACAACTGAGCCTCAGCTTCACTGCCATACATTCTGGGGAATACTTCCTAACCAAGTTAGGTGTCCTTTGCACTCAATTCCCATATTTTCCCCTATTGCTTATCTGTACATCCCACTACATTGTAAATCCCTTGGGGTTTGGTTCCATATCTTAGTCACCATTTTACTCCCAGTGCCTAATGCATACAGCACTTGCCAATACAAACTTGTTGCATGAGCGAATGAAAGCAAAGAATACAGGAAGGAAGGCACATTTCAAATTACTAACTCCAAACTTTGACCCTTTTCTTTTAGACCCGAATCAGAGGGTGCACTAAGCCAAATAACATACTGATTTCTTTTCATCATTGCTCAAGTTTGGACCTGAACTTTCCCACAAAGTCCCATGTGTTAAAGACTTGGATTCCAGTGTGTCCCTATGGTGTGGTGATGAACCCCCAGAGGAAAAGCTTAGTGGGACTTCTCCAGGTCATTGGAAATATGCCCTCAAGGAGGATAGTGGGAACCCAGGCTCTTCTTCCTGTCTTACTTCTTAGCCATGAGATGAGCAATTTATCTCTACCATGCATTCTCGCCATGCTGCCTCCATACCAGAAGCCTAAAAGTAATATGTTTACCCAATCATGGACTAAAACTTCAAAAGTTTGAATCAAAGTAAATGATTGTATCAGGTAATTGTTTCAGTAATGGAAAGCTGACTAACACAATCACCATGCACTGCCAATTCTAAATAATATCAATGGTAAAATATCCCTCTCTGGAAAAAAAAAAAAGAATCTTCCATTGGCCCAACTTTTAAACAATTGTTTATATTGATTTCATACAGTTAAAAACACATAGCTTTAAACATATGTAAGTTTCAAATTAACATGTTTGTTACGTTAAAAAATCATCTGTATCTTCACTGGATTATATTTTTTTTGTTATTTGGTTCTATGTCTTATTCACCTCTGTATGCAAATTGATTCAGAGATTCACCTGGTAAAACCTTCCATAATAAACAGAAGCTATAAGAATTCATAACAAGAAAGAAAGCCTGCACTACAAAGCATACACAATGAAATATTTCATGAAGCAAAAATTAAAAATAAAAATAAAAACCAGCATAGAGATGCACTACACTAGAAGAAAAATCAAATGACAACCAAGTCTGAATTACACATCAGAAATAAATCAAAATGGCAGGAAATAGAAACCATCTCCCTGTAAGGATAAAAGCAAATGAAGGAAATAGAGAAGAGAGGAAGTTTAACACTGACACACATTTATTCAGTAAAAACCTGCAGATGGGGGCCCAGTGGAGACTGAGACCTATCTTCCATTTGCAGCCTGGGGTAGATATAAGGGCAGGAGGGAGTGTGGAAATGTTTGTGGTTGGGCCATTGCTAGGAGGGTTGTCAGGGTCATCACCTGTATTCTTTGAGGTGATCACTGTTTCATGTTGAACTAGGTGTTTTCAGAATTCCAATCTCAGAAATTTCCTTTTTCTGTATGATGATAAATTATTGTTTGAGATTTTTTTGTGCAATGATAGAATATTATCTGGGGTTTAATGTCAGGCTAAGTCAGAATAACAATGAGGTGACTCTTATTCTGTGATGGGGGATGTATTTCAAAATGGTGTTGCCTGTGTCAAGTTCTATCTAACATTCCTTCCTTTTTTTTAATTTTATGAAAAAGAAGTGAAGGGAGGGGTGAAGGGAGAGGGGCAGTGATGTCTCTTACAGTACTTCCTGCTGAGAGAGGGCATTAATTGAAGACTCCTGTAGGCATTGATATTGAGCAGTTCTCTTGTTACTCAGCAGAAGGATGTTCTGGATCACGTGATTAGTGGTGGCATTGATGGTTCTGTGTGACAAGGAGATGAAGAGCTGAAACAGGGAGGGCCCAATAGCAAGGTCAATCATTATACAGAGAATTGGGAAGACAAAAGGGGCTATCCAAGAGAACATAGCCAGGGGAGAAAGCCATCTCATAGTTCATGAGGAGGAGTACTGATCAACTTGGTGCCTGTTCTCTTAATTTTAATGCCGTTCCTCACCAGACTTGTTAGTGTAAAAGCAGCAGGTTTCTTGTAGGAAGAAACAGATACCTCCTTTGCCTGTGGTTAATAAATCTAGATATCCTCTGTTTTGGAGGACAGTTGGTGCCAACAAATCTCTTTGGTCCTGAAGCATAAATAGTTGGGTTGAGATTTCTCTGAGGCTAGCTGCCATTTCTTTAGATAGTACTCCAAAATTGATGGGTGGAAACTCCTACTCCTGCCACTCCTGTGCCCACGGCTGTAGTTATGCCCACGCATATCAGGAGAGGAGCAAAAGGGAGAGCTCATTTCAGTCTGGGTAGGGTGTATACTGGGATTGGGATGGGTCCCTTCTCAGTGAAATATAGGAGGACTGGTGTGAGAAAGGCTGGGGTGCGAGTTTCTGTACAGTTAGTGGGTAAACAGATGTGTTTTTTTTTCACATAGGAAGAAGGTTCCCTGATGATAGTCAAGGCAACAGAAATGTAATAGGAGACTACTTGTTTTAGTTGGAGGCTATTGAGGTTCCATATCCACCCCTGGTAAAAGGCAAAGGTGGTGGCCATGTATGCAGCCCCAAGAGGCTGGAGATCAATATTGGTGTTCAAAAGATGGGACTTTTCAATTAAAATTTAGTGTTTGGAGGTTTAAGAATACTTGTCCAGGTAGAGGAAGGAGCATTCAGTGTTCTACATTGTAGGGCTTAGGTTTTATGTTTATTAGAGGCATACTGGTTAGCGGACCTCTACCTTGGCAGAATAAGAACTGGCTTTTGGTTATAGGTAAACTCCAAAGAGCACAGGGAATGAAAGCTCTTATCAGTTTGCTTGTGGGCCCCTTTTAGGTACTGTGTTCAGCAGTGGGATTGGGGAAAGGAAAGGTATGATTACATAAAGAAAGAGAAAGGAAGGCTGCTGGGATTTCCTCTTCTGTGCATGGGACACAGAGAAGAGTCTGAGAAATAGGGGGTTAAGTAAGGGTACCCATCTGACCTGTCCTGGGGATAGTAATGTGTGAGGCAAAGTATTTGGCAGTCATATATCAAAAAGGAATGTGTCGTATGGCTGATTCTCTGAATTCTGTTCTGTCTTCTCAGTGCATGTGATCAGAGGAACTGGCTGGGCTACAGAGTTGGGGCTCATGGGGGGTAAACAAATCCAGCAGGGGAAACTGGATGTGTTAGTGGAATTTACCAGAAGGTCAACAGAGGTTTTAATAAGTGCAGGCATGTAATGAGGTATTAAGGCCAGACAAAAAGGAGGCAGAAAGAGAAGAAGGAAAGCTGAGGATGTGAGAAGTCCCAATAAGCTCCTTTAAGCCATGGTTGATGCATGGATTTGAAAATTTAAGCTGGAGTATTCAGGGGCTCTGGGAATAGATACCAAGCAATGTCCCGGGTAGTAAGGATAATAAATTGGCAAAAGTTGGGTAATAAAGAGACATAAGTTTATAAGGCATAATCTCGGTCCTTTAGGTCTCCGAGTATCTGGGGGAAGTGTATAGGAGTGGGGCTTGTGAAAAAAGCAAGAGTATTTTACACAACAAGGAGGGCTGCTGGGGATGTGCGTTGTTCAGGGGGGATGAGTGAGCTGCTACCTTTTTAAGCTTGGAATTGGGTATCCAGTGTGGGAATGATTTCAGTTTGGCTGCTGCAGGTGGTCTCGGGACTGCCTGATATGAACCTGCCCATTTGGGGTTAAGGGGAGTAAGAGAGTCTGTTCTCTGCATCAGGTCTCCTGGCTGTAGTTTTAATGGAGTCTCTGAATAGTCAATAGGTTCAGGAAGGAATTGTTCTGCATGCTATCTGCTTAGGTGTTGCCTCAGGTGTAAGGCTGCCCAAGTATCAGGAATAGGAGGGGCCAAAGAAAGAGGAAAACCCTGGAGCACAAAGGGACAGCCATAGAGGAGCTTGAAAGGGCTTAGATGAGGGGTTTTCAGGAAGGATTCATAAATGAAGAAGAGCCAAGGGAGAAGCTTGGTCCAGGTAAGTTCAGTTTTAAGCATTCGTTTGCTCAGGTGCAGTTTTAGGAGGGCTTTTGAGCGATCTACCTTTCCTGGGGATTGTGGGCAGTATGGGATATAGAGACAGTTATTTACAATCCAAAATGTAAGGACCCAAGGCGAATTAGGTTTCCTGAAGAAAGGCTGAGAGAAGAGGAGGGGAACTGACCCCTTCCCCCAGAATTGGTTTCTTACCATAACATTTTATAATTTCATTTTATAACTAGGTCTAGTTTTGCTGCCATAAGTAGGTTAAAGGGGGCAAATATCCTGAATGTACTTTGGAATTGAAAGCCAAAAAAATAGATTCTGT